TCTCGCTCTTGCTCAGGCTGGTCTCGAACTCCTGACCTTAAGCGATCCACCCGCCTCGGCCTCCCAGAGAGCTAGGATTACAGGCGTGAGCCACCGCGCCCGGCCCAGTAAGTGTTTCTTGACTGCCTGCCACGTACCAAGGCTTCGGGTGCAGGTCGTGGGAACCTGATTCAGGCTATCTTAGGCAAGAGCAGGCATTTATTGGAAATATGCTGAGGTATTTCCCCAAATACAAAGGAAAAAATACAACTGGACTTTGGCTGTGGAAGTGGGGTCTAGAATAATCTGAAAGTCCTTTCTCTTGGACCCTTGGGTTTCTCCTCTGGGCTTCTGCTTCCCTCTTCTTTCTCAGTGTGCACCAGCTCCCTTGGTTCTCAGCCAGCTAGGAAGACCAGAGCTGTAATAGCTACTGAGTTTTACATGTTAGATTTCAGGTACCCCGAGGGAGGCTGTTTTCTCTCTGTCCCTTTCCCAGAGTTTCCAAGGAAGGGACTAGTTACAGTCAGAGGGGACAAGATCCCATCATATGGAATGACGTTTCCATGGGTGCATGTGCACGCACATGTATGTATGTTGGGGGTGGGCAGGTGAGCAGTTGAAGAAAAGCAGGAGTTGCTGAGTAACAGACAGTGGGTCTGAGTACACGGGCCGCATTCTAGATGTGGGAAGACAGGGGATGTGGAAATGGTCCACACCTTCCTGGAGTTAACAGTCCGCAGAGGGAGACTATAAGTAAACCAAAACCACAGCTAAAATGGGACCGTGCTTTGATGGGCCCGTATAGGTGACTCCAGCAGTGGTCAGGGAAGGCTGTGCTGCGGAAGTACTGTCTACGCTGAGACCCAAGTAGGATTTGGTCCTGTGGGGTGAGGGTGGAGGCAGGGCTGGGCAGTTGAGGGAGATGGGAGAGAACATTCTGAGCAAAATGAAGAGCAGGTGTGAAGTCCCAGTGCTGAGGAAGCAGATCTTCACTACAGTATGTGTTTTTTCAAAGTGGAGACAAAGTCTAGTACAAAGCTAGGCCCTCAGGAGACCCTGAGGAAATGCTCAACTTGTCACAGAACGCCGGCGCCCTGTGTGCTAACAGCCCTGTAAATCTCCGCGAGCTCCCGGGGGCTGCCAGACTCAGCCTGTGCCGCAGAACCACATAAGGGCAGGCCCTGCTCAGCGAGAATGATTGCTGTTACAGGGCTCGGTGACCTTCAAGGATGTGGCCGTGCTCTTCACCCAGGAAGAGTGGGGGCACCTGAGCCCGGCCCAGAGGGCCCTGTACAGGGATGTGATGCTGGAGAACTACAGCCACCTGGTCTCGCTGGGTAAGGTGGGAGCCTCGCAAGCTTCCTCTTCCTTTGGGGGGATCTCTTTGGGACCCTTAAACTGATACCGTATAGAAGATTGAGTTGGAAATGGGCCAGTTGAGGATGTTGTCTTCAAGGCTGCGACTTCCCTATCCTTGGTGTCCTGCGCCCAGCCCTCTAGGAGTCCAAGTACAGATGCCTCAAAAGAGACTAGGGGCCAGATCCTTCCTTTCTGGCAGGGAGAGGGACATGAGAACAGATTGCATCAGGCCTGAGCCATCTTTTCCTGCTGGGAACACATCTCCACCCTGGGCCTTCCTGTCAAGGCACCTTTTCTAGGAAGTTCTGAGGACCAGGCCTTATCCTTGCAGTGATTTTCATCTCTGATATGAACAAATGTGGTTCATTTTTTTTTCCCCCCTCAAAAACAGGACTCTTAGGACCCAAACCAGATCTGTTTTCCCAGCTGGGAAAAGGGGAAGAATGGATGCCAGAGGATGCCTCGGGAAGCTTCTGTCTTGGTAAGAATCAGGCATATGGGACGTGTTAGGAGGAGCCCAGCTGGGTAGGGTAGGCACAGAGGCTCAGCAAATGTGCCAGACCTGTGGATTGAGAAATGAGCCTCTTTTCACTTTTGTTCACCTCAACACCTCGTAGCCACACTTGTCCCAGGGTGCACTGCCAAAATGTAGCACTCCTTTCTTGTGGCGGTTTGCTTCCCCTGACTCTCCCCTCCATTATTTTTCTCCTCTTACTGTTTGATATCCATTAATAGTCTTTGGTTCAGAAAAGACCTTAATTGTTATCTGGGCAGTTCTCTTCCTCTCCTCTGCATGAGTGTCCTGTTCAGCATCTGGCAGTGTGGCCTCTGCTTGCACTTCTCTCGTGAGGAGGAACCACCCTGGGTGACACACAGCAGGGTGAGTTATCTTAAGAGCCAATTATCATGTGCCTACTGAGACACCTCTTCTAGCTAAACTTTACACTTCTCTTCAACTCCCTCCATGTTTGTTGATCCATGTGATCATTTAACTGTCCTCTGCCTTTGCCAGCCACCATGCTAGACTACAAGTCCCACGAGGACCACGTTTATTGCGTATTTTGCTGTGATGTTCACACCGAGCATGATGCTTGGCACCTAGTAAATGGCATAGACTTGTTGCCTGGGAATACAGAGAACGTGACAGTTTAGTCGCTGTTACTTATTTGGAGGAGCACCTTGCATCTGGTAGCTTAAGGCCAGGGGTGTGTCTTTTCCCTTTAACCCCAGTAGTCTAGAGAGCTTAGTGCCTCATCCAAGACACTACAGTGTTTCACTTTCAGCAGACATTTTTCAGGCTGCAACATATTTTCACAAACCTTCGTTGCTGATTTTTCATAGTACCCAGTGAAGTAGACAGGAATTTATATCCTACAGTAAATGACTATATACCTAGAATGGCTAGGACCCAATCGGTTATGAAATTTAAATATCCTAGAAGCTAGGTGTAAGCCCAGCTACTTAGGAGGCTGAGGCAGGGAGATCACTTAAGGTCAGGAGTTCAAGACTGGCCTGGGCGACACCATCTCTAAAAAAATTATTTTAGTTAACCAGGCCCAGTGATGTATGCCTGTAGTCCCAGACACTTGAGCAGCTGAAGCGGGAGGATCACTTGAGCTCAGTAGTTCAAGACCAGCTTGGGCAATACAGCAAGACCCCATCTTAAAAAAAAATCTTAACACCAAAACTCAGTTATCAAAAAAAAAAAAATCTTTCAACCTATTCTAGTAGCATTCTGAATATTCTTTGAATTCGTATGTTGTATTACAACCAAACTAAGGCACTTTTAATATTCTGTATTATACAAGTAGTGTTACAACAAACAAAATGCGGGGAACTTAAAAGAAATTCATCCGCAATCCTACCACCCTGGTATAAAAACTCTTTATATTTAAATCATTCCATCATCCATTCATTCACCAGTAACTCTAATTCCTCATTGCGCTCGTGTAGGAGGAATATGAAGATGAAGAAGGACTTTTCTGCCTAGAGGGATTTCATAGTCAGGTGTGGGCGATGACACGAAAAGCAGCCAGCTGTACTTCAGGCCTCCCAGCTCCCTTTCCAACCGTCGTTCTAGCACGTCTTACTGTTCCTGTGTTGCTTGGAGATGCCGTCACTTGAGCTGGCTCATGAAGGGTGATTAGCAGTTAGCCAGTCAGACATAGGAAGAAGTCTTCTTTTATATCACCCAATAAAGTTTTATACTTTGCCCGTAATTCCCATTAAAGTTATATTTTTTAAATAGAACTATCTCTTGTTTTTTAACTGGAAGCTGCTGCTAGAAAGAAATGCTAGTCATTTCTAAATATTTATTCCCTTCTTGTCACTTCCTAATTCATATTCATTCTTAAGATGCTTATTAGATTCATTTTTAATTTTTGTTTTTTCTTATTTCTGTTTCATTTCTTAATGACTGGCAACAATTTCAAAGACTGTATAGAGCAAAGATAATAGATTTTATTTCTGATTTTCAAGGTATTGGATCTAGAACTTTTCTACTGTTGCACTAATTACTCTGGGTTTAGAATAGACACTATTTTTAAACATAGTAAGAAAAATACTCTCCAGAATATTGGGGGTTAAAGGGAAAAGACACACCCCTGGCCTTAAGCTGCCAGATACAATGGGCTCCTCAAAATAAGTAACAGCCACTAAACTGTCATATTCTCTGGTCTTGAACTCGAACTCCTGACCTCGAACGATCCTCCCGCCTCGGCCTCCCAGAGTGCTAGGATTACAGGCGTGAGCCACTGCTCCCGGCCCTGTCATGTTCTCTGTATTCCCAGGCAACAAGTCTATGCCACTCACTAGGTGCCAAAAAAAGATATCTATCTGTCCTTCTGATAGATAGCTTCCTTTTTAATTTTTCTGTTCTCTGGGCCACGAGATAGTAGAGGGGGAGAGAGCTGTTGTTTGAGCATCTGTAGATCAGCACTGTGCTGAGAGATTGGGGGGTGGGTTTGTGTTTGTAGCCCTGTTTAATCTATGGGGTTAATCATGTTTGATTAACCCACTTTACGGGAAACTGACCTCAGTGTGGCTAACGAATTTGGGCTGATTTAGTGTTGTTATTATGTGACACGTCAGGATTGGTGTGAAGCCAGCACAAGACTCATCTGACCTTAGACTGTTGCATTTTCTTCCCTTCTCCAAAATAGCTTTAATTACATCGAAATAGTTCACTCAGTAAACTTCACAGAAGATTACTGATCCCTTAATTTGAGTAGTTGCTAATACCTTTTATAATTTCTTATTTATTAAACTGTTGAGGTTACTTTTTATTTCAATTGTACTTTTTACCCTATAACTTGAACTTATCTTTTTCAAGCTATAAAATGTATTAGTTTACATCTATGCATAGTACTCATCTATAATTTTAACATTATATATTACATCCTCTTTCTCATTTCCAATTTTATCTGCATTTTTTCTCTTAAATTTACTGGGAATTTCTTTTAAAGAACATTTTTTATTTATTGCTGTTACATGTAATTTCTACACATACCATCATCATTTCCTTTTTTCACTTTAAAATAAATTTATTTTGAATACTGTGCCTCATATATACAAAAAAGAATATGAATATTTTTAAACAGTTTAAAGAATGGTAAGGAAACAATACCATACCCTACCATCCAGCTTAAGAAATGGAATACAGGGGGGAGAGGGGAGGAGGGGACGGGTATTTGTATACACAAGGAGTGCAATGTGCACCACCCGAAGGATGGACATATTTGAAACACAGACTTGGGGGGGAGACCAGGGGCAACATGCGTAACCTAGGCATCTGT